CTGTTGAATATGTAAAAATACACTCTTCCAGGCAACAGGCAAGCCTTAGAAGAGGAAAAGCTACTCATCATAGTGTAAGGGCAGGGGGGAAGACTGGCAGGGCTTTAGATTCATTTGGGCTCACTGCAACCCTGTGAGCAGATCTAAGTTTAACACAGGCCCAGAGGATGCAAAGCCCAAGTCAAGAACAGTAACTCACTTCATGCCAAAGCCCAGTGAAGAGATTTCTTTTGACAGCTCCTGTTTCATGCTCCCAGTGAGCTTACTGGCTTCCTGCACTGACCTCTCCCATTCACCCACAAGTTGGCCGCATGTAAAATGGCCATTAATTCCAGCTGGCACATGGGTGGGTTTGGCTGGGGCCCTTCCTTCCTGTCAGCAACAGGGAAAAAGCTGGGGGCATGTGTGGCAGGATGAGACAGAAACAACAGCAATCCACAAACTTCCATTGTGAGCTGTCTGGTTTGCACCTCTTAAAGTGATCATCTACCGTCACACTAACATTTAGGCAAAAATAGTTGGAGCCGATTAAGATCAAGAAGAGGAAGCATATTCTCCCCAGAAGCAGGAGCCACACAGTAAGTAGCAGTCCACTCTTGATATGATGAGAATTTAAGAAACAAAGCATTCCAAAAGCTGTGTTGGAGAGTATTAGAAATACTACTTTTCTTTTTTCACAGTCTCTTAGTTTACAAGAATAAGCTGATTAGTTATTTTAACCTAAGCTAAGTTGGAAGACAAGCATCACAAATATCTTCCACTGAAAAGGCTAGACACACTGCTTTCTATATACAGACTGCAGGGCTTCAGGACAGTTAGAAGAACATTTGCAAGACACTAACCTAAAACTGCTTTTGGAAAGGAAACACATTGGACATAACCTTGCGAGGTCATAGCTGAACATTGACAAAGCCTTAGGATCCACAAGCCTGGCTGGCTTGGTTGTAGTTGAACAAGATGGATTTGACGGGAGAACTGGAGACCGACCTGCATGTAGGACTCATAACTGCAACACAGCCAGCTGCCAGTAGAAACTGCTACAAAAGAAGAAACATTTTCAGCACAGATTTGCAATATAGTCAACAGCAACTTTCTACATGAAACAGGTAACCAGACTCTTAACACAAACGTGGCAGTGGCTAAACTGGCCTGAAGTGCTGCATTAAACTCTGTTTCCTTACTGAAAGGTTCAAACTCTAAGGACCAGACAAATAAGCAGTGAGAGTGGAATGTGGGGAATTCAGCCATAAGAATTATCACTTGTTCTCAATTGTCTGATAGCTGGCAATGGAAATTTGTTTGTGCAATGCAGAAGAGGTAATGACCTTTAAAGCAGTCCAACTTCAAATGCTCAGGATCTACAGGATACACAAAGCCAGTGGGGTTTGGTTCTGTGGAGTTTTTGGGGTTGTGTATTGTTGTGGTGTTTTGTTTTTTGGTTTTTTTTGTTAAAAGCACATCCCAGATCACCGATTTCAGTTACACTGTAGTTCTACAACACTAAGGTAGGAATCATACATGCCTTCTCCAAAGCCAACATGAAGGTAGAGATGACTTTCCTGGGAGAAGTTCTCATCTGCACAGATAAGCAGCACTTATTCTTGTGGGGCAGTTCTGTCATGAAATTTAGTTTATTTAAGAGCTAAGAAAACAACTTTATTTAAACTTGTGCATTCACTCTGAACATCCAAGTTGTATACCCATGCAGTATAATCTGACAATTAGTTAGAAAATTCAGCTTATGCATTCTCAGACCCAAAAGCTGGACTAAGTTTGAAATTATTGCCATTCCATACATTGCCATCCTCTCTTCCAAGTGTTATTATTTAGACAAGCCTAGAGAGTATTTAAGCTGAAGTCACTTTGTGTAACTGTAAAAAGTTTATCTATTGCCATACAAAACTTTAGGTTTCCTTAGCCTCAATAGCCAGAATTAGTGTAACAGCTGTTGGGGGACCAGTTCAACCCAAAATGGCTGGAGCTCAAACCCACCTTAAAATTAGATGATCCGAAATCAGGTGTGAGGATTAAAAGAAGCCTTTAAGATAAATGAAACAGCTTTCAGAAGTGATACATGAAAGCAGGTGGTTAGAAGGAGACAAAACTTTTCCAGCTATCAAAACAGACTGAGAGGAAATGCAGGTAGTCAGCAGTGTCAGGAGGCAGAAGAGTGGCAATGAAAGGAATTCAAGTGGGAAAGATTTCATTTGAAAGCACAGAATAAAATCAAAACATTATTTAATAGTAGGCAGGAAAATAATAAAAGGACTCAGGAAAGGGGATCTGGGTATTGTGCTGTATGGCTGCAAATGTATTGAGCACAAAATACACTCAGGAATATTTAAGTTTCTGTAAGTAGTTTTCAAGTGGTGTTTGTTTCTGCCAGGCCTCCCAGATTCCAACAACTCTGTTATACACAGTCTCTTACTAAGTTTCACATGAGAATCTTTGTAAGTGTTACAGAAGAGATAAGAAAAAGCCAAGCCAGATGACAGAGCAAGCACAGAGTGCTTTCTTGGTAGAGTACCTCAAAGTAAAGTATCAACACTGCTCCTCAATTTCAACATGTTTTGTGGCAAAGATACCCACCTCTAAAATCTGAATCTAGGCTGACTATTTACAATAGATACGGAACAATCTGTTCAGTTGTGAGGTTTTTATACACCGAAGTTATTCTAAAAAACTAAGAACAACTCAAAATCAGATTTAGGCACATGTAAGTTAATTTCAGCAAAATATAAAATCCAAAACAAATGGTCCAGGTGTAAAAACCTCAAAAGAAAGGCACATCTATTTATTGCTATGAAGATTAATTAGAAATCAAATCTATCAAAACTGCCATAAATACTTAAGGCTGTCATGTTACAGCATCACTGAACAAAGGGGGGGGGGAAAAAAAACAGTATTCCAAACAGATTGTATTCAAAATTTATTTTTTAAATAAAAGAAAAAACAAGACAATGATTTTAAATAAACATAGTATATTCCACATATCTGTAGATCAACACAACTTTACATTAGCCATTTTTAACTTTTAGAAGTTTAGAAGCACCTCCTACAACATTTGACAGTGTTGGTTTCCATTTCATAATCAACCGAACAATACCCAAATGAAACTATTTGCTTAAGTGAAGCTTTATTTTTCATGACCAAAGATGGCTCTACTAATACAAAAGCACCTGTTAAACAATTATCCCCACCTAATTTTTTTTTAAAATGAAGTCTGTTCAGCCTTTTTTTTGGTTCTGTTCCATTGCCTGCATAGAAATCAGCATAAAGCTAAGTTGCAAGCTAAGCTTCACTTTAGCAGTGCAATGAATGGCATCAAACTTCATGAAACAAATGAAGATACAAACATTGTCAGCAAAATTCAACTATGTAAAAAACAATATTAAAACCAGAATGTTTTCGTGGGTCACAACTAGACTAGCTTTCAAGTGTGCAACTTTCCTCAGGAAAAGTGCTTCTTCCTGATTCACATGAAAAGAATGAAGCATGCATCAAAAGCCTTTGTTCATACAGAAATGCCCATTAAAAGAGTTCCATGGTATCATAAGGCAAAACAGATACTAAGGTGGATGAAGCATTTTGGCCCAGAATATGTTTTACAACACATACATACACGCACATTACACTTGTGTAGCATATGGCAGGTAAGGGATTGGCTCAGTAAGGTAAAAATGTCCATTTTTATAAATACATGTCATTATTGCTAATATGCTACACATTATCATCCAACTTTTAAAGCTGCTTTGTTGGCATTAGCCTTGTAATTAGCAGCTCACATTCATGGTGACAATATGCTAATTCCATCTGAAGAAAAGTAAAGCAGCATAAATACAATTATGAAAACAAAAGGCTTATGCAACATCCCTCTCTAGCTTTGCTGTGTTTTTTTAATTAAAAAGTGTTCAAAGAAAACAAGTCCAGTTCACCACAAATTAGGAAGTCTCACAATGAGGTTGGAAACCAAGCTACAGGGAGCAGAGAAGGGAAAAACACGGCATGCATTATAATCTCGTCCTTTTAGTCATACCACTGGAATACAAAAGTCCAATTTAAAGGCTAGACTAACAGTAGAAGGCAAAAAGCCAAGAGTAGACTTAGTTTGATATTTAAATTAAGATTATAATTTTAATCAGTAACAGCAAACTCACCCGGCCTTTTAATATATTCACAATATCTACTGCAGTTGAATACTTAATTATGACTAGTATAGGTATGTATGTTCACTTTAAAAAGATATTAAATACCTGCATCATGAAATTACATTCTTAAGACATTGTGTAAGAAAATAGCTCATGTGTGAAGTGTTTCTGAAATGTATTTCTGCTCCCTTCTACCACCTACTATGTCATTCACAGGGAAAAACAAACACCCCTTAAAAAAGGATGGAAATATTGAAGGGGACCAGCTTGGCTAGTTACAGCACAGTGCTTAACAAGGTTCAAGACAGAACCAGATCAGAGTTGGCCAAAAGATGCCCACAATACATGCCTGACCAGTAATTCCTTCCAACTCATTCTATCAAACTCAGTCCACTTTTGGTTCATTGCAATGACTAAAGTATTTCATATATATATACATATAAACACAAGACTCCAGCTTTACTTTAGTTTGTTTTTGCAAAGCATTTTTACCTTTCCATTCATTTTGTTCTGCAGCAACTGCAAGAGGTAGGCATAAAGCATTTAAGAGCTTCTTTCCCAAGGTCCTGTTACTAGCTCAATTTAGTGGGATAAAACAGAAATCAGCTGTACTTCTGTGATTTTACTAGGTACAGCCTTGTACAATCCAGCTGGAAAACAGCTATGTGAACCCTGGATTTGCTAGGCTAGCACACCATGGCAGAAGAAGCTGTTCATATCCAGGAGGATACTTTTTTTTTTAAAAAGAGTTTACTGCAGAGCATTCCTATAGAAAGTAGATGTCAGGACCAATTCTCTCAGTTTCTATTTGTACATAGGAGCAAGGTACCGTTTGGCCAAGACTACAGATGTGTTTTTACAGATGCAAGTGCCATGCAAAAATAAATTAAAGAACAGATACCAAAACATACAAGTAATAAAACTACTGAAGGTAGATTTTCTTAAAAGTATTTATATAAACAATTTATAATACTTTTCTTCCCCCCCCCTTCTCTTTTTGACATTCACAGTTACAAAGCTGTGGCTATACATCAAGAATTTCTTCTGCAGTGCCTCCACAACGTAATCTGTAACGTCCTGTCCTCCAGCTAATAGTGGGGTCCCACAAAGCAGATAGGAAAATATAAATTGTCATGGATTCTCTGATGAACCAAGCTACTGCATAATCAAGTTTTGAAAAACACAGAGCACCACCCTAGGAATATAAAAAAAAACAAGTATATCAACATACTGATTATCCAAAAGGAATTTTAAAGTAATTTAAAACATTTATGTTACAGATAAATCTATTCTAAAGCTTATTATACAGATTTACATATCAATAGTGTATTTTTTTTAAGCCAAGAACATATTCCTGTTCAAGATATGATTATCCGTATTAAACATGAGGAACTCGGCAGAATGACCCAGAAGGTTTGAAAAGAGACTTGTATGTAGAGTAAAGGGCAAGGAAAAGTGTCACAATTTCACTTTTTTCTTTTTGAAGCTTTGTAAAACTGTGTTCAAGCAGACACTGGGTTTTTGCCACAGACGCCAGAAGAACAGCATCTGGACAGAACACTCCTGCACATTCCCAGAGGAGTGAAATTCAAATAAACAAGCCTTTGGCCTATTGCATAGGAAAAGTGGGACTACGAAAAAAGCTTATAGCCTCTCTATATTTTCTGCTCCTTTGAGAATTTCCAGCTACGTGCAGAGCTGGAAATTGAAGAGGCTTCAGAAGACGAGGAGTAGGCACAAAGCTCTTTTACATGGCGTGCATGGTGAGAAAAGTAATCAGAAAGGTGACTGTTAAACTGACCTTCTGGAGTCCTACAGAATCAACACAAGGCCTAACTTTTTTTTGTTTGTTTCCAGTATGTGATAAGACTACCAAAAGAATATTTTTCAGTATTATGAGAACTATTTGATAAGTTTGAATACACAAGTAATTATGGATCAGATTTGGATGGAATATGGTCACAGCAGAAAGTAGTCTAAATAGTTCCTACAGCATTAGAAGAACAAAGGCTGTTCTGATTTGTGACATCTTTCTACACTGAAAGTTTTGAGGCCTCACTTCTAGTGATGGGAAGATTTTATTTTTAGAAGTAGGCTACAGTTGTCCTGTAAAAGTTCATTATTACCAAAATAGAGTAAAAAATATACTTGAGTACATATACACCTCAATAAATACAAGACAAAGTGATAACTAAGATAAGAAAAAAAACCATAAAATCCCACAAAGCTGCTGTTCTTGTACTGTTAAAAAAAAAGCTTAAAATTTCTGGATATGCCTAGGTAGAGCAGACTGGAAACATGAAGATTAAGGGGACAGATACGCAAACTTTCAGAGCCTAGGTAGAGGCAGATGCATATAGAAAACAAAATTACAAACCAAGCACACTTACTCTTTTTCATGCTACTGTAACTGAAGCTGGAAGACTGAGAAGTAACAGGATTTGACCTATTATTTCCTTGATGTCAAAAGAATTATTTTGTTTTTATAATTAGGCTTAGCTTTTTGCTGAAGCAGATGGCACTAGTAACTTTAATAACCTCCAAAGAAAATGAAGCTACGTACCTGAACACCTTTTAGTTGAATGTAGTCAAATATAAACCACGCCAAGCAGTGACACATGAAAAATACCATTATATCCCATCTAAACACATGATGAGCTGCCCATCCAATAACTAGACTGGCAACAAAGCACTCTGAGATTGGCTCACAAATTATTGTGGCAGGCAACATATTAATTCGCAGTTTGGCCCACCTAGAAAAAGTCAAACAAATCAGTTCTGACTATGCATTATTCTTTATGTCCTCTTCCCCCCACCTCATCAAACGATGAGACATCGTGGTCTTTTCTGACAATGTTAGTTTAATCTCATGTAATTTACACCTCCAAATAAAATACTGCAAAAATTCTCCCTTTCAAAGATACTGCACGTAGCATTTAAAAGGTACTAAGTGGGTTTGTTTAGGGTTTTTTTAATACTTGTATCAGTCATACTTCTGTGGAAAGTCAGTGCCTCTCTCCCAACACTAACAAGAAGCATGCATCAAGCTGTGCACTGGAACTTCAGCATTCTGCACATTAGATCAAATTAGCTTGGAAAATGCATTGCCTCTCATTATCAGGTTATCCACATCAGAAGCAGGTGACAGGGGTGGGTGGCAGAGGAAGTAAGGATCAAAATTTTACCTGATCATTCTGGACTGAAACTGAGAAATAGAATATGAACCAGAGTTCTGCATTGCAACTTGTGTGGCCATTGCAAATTTCCAACCCCTGAAAAATGAATGTATCATATAAAAAACCATGCAAATAAGAGATGCAAAAAACAACTAGAGAACAAACACCCAAGAATTTTATTAGGCTTGAAAAGTTTCTTTGGCATATGTGCCATCTTACTACAATGGGTATAAGCAAAGAGATTAAGTGTATTTTACCAAGTCTCTTCATTGGAAAAGAGCAAATACCACTTGAGCAACACTTAAACCAAGATCTCAAACTTTCTTCTAAAGGAATTGACAACAATATGGCTTAATTATTTCTAAAAGACTATATTGATAGGACAAAGCACATGTCATAAGCATGTTTGCTGCATACATGTGAAGCTGACCTGAAGACTTATACTTACAGTATGTACCATGTGTTTAAAAAGATTTAAACTGCACTTAAAGCAATAAGCTTACTTCAGAGTCATCTTACCGGTCAGCTATAGCTTTGGCCATAAAGTAATCTTCAGCAATATATTGTGCAAAAGCTATCAGTCCTCCAGCTTGGTCCAAGACATCCTTCCTCATCAAGCATGACATTCCTGTTACACACTTAAAGCCAGTTAAGTTGGCTGAAATATACGACCTAGGATGCGAAGTTCCAAAATAAACCTGCCAAAACAAGATAAGGCTTTTAAAATTTTACATGTATTTATGCAAGTGCTACTCACTGACAACTTTTACTCCAAAAATGTTTAGAGGGCAAAAAGTGCTAGACATGGCCAGTTATGATGGTGTATTTGGAAAGATCTTTACCACCAAACTGAGAAATCTAGTAGTGATATTGGCTGTGTTTTTATAAATCTGTAAGTGGGTTTTAAATCCATACATTAAACTAGCATATTTCATTTGATATTTAATTTTTAATTTATTGAGGTTATTCTCAGGGAATATATATATTAAAAATCCATTAAGTAATTTACTAATCACTAGGATTAATATATTATTTGGTGATAGCTGACAGACAGGCTGTCTCCTTCCTCTTACAAAGATTAACTTCATTACTGCATACATGTTCTTAGAAACTTATTATATGGTTGTACAAAAGCTGGGGAATTTGTTTACTTAATGTACTTGCAAACAGAAATAACAAAGAAAAAATTCAGATTGTGAGTGAGTCTTTTTACAAGATTCAATAACTTAAATTTAGGAGCGTCCTATAAACAGACAGTGGGAATGAGTGCTAGTACCTCTCACTACTATTCTTCGAATAGATGGCCTTCACACTGGTCTTACTAATACAGTAACTCATTCAAGAAAAGGCATGCTCATCTTCCAGTATACTGGATCCGGAAGCAAAAAGTTCTTCCAGGAATATAGAAGGAGAAGTTGTAATTCTTGCTACTGTAGCATGTAGCAGTACTAAAAGCTTTGTGCTACAGCTCTTTGCTCTTCTCTTGTAAGCGGAAATTCAAACTTTGTGTCACAAAAATCACACAAGCCGCCCTCTCTCCATGCAATGAAGGAGTATTGAATTTCACTCCACTTTCATTTCTCACACTTCTGCCTTTGACACACATTAATTAGCCTTGGGGCCAAAATGCCTTATACATACCAGCTTAGAATAAAAGATAGTTTATTAAATCACGTGCCTTGAGACACAAGGAACAAACAAGAAAACTCAACCTCTTCATTCTACAAAAGAGAACTTACTGAGAAAGAAAAGAGGGGAGAATAGGACAGAATGAGTGATATGAAGATGGTGGATAGGAATCAACTGTTCACTTTCTCTTCCAAAACAAGTATTAGGAGACATAAAATAGCACTGTAGGAGAACAAGGGTCAGTGAACAAGGTGGTGGTTCCTGTAACAGATAGTAGATCTATGGAACTTCCTGGTAAAGACAGTTATAGATGTTAAAAATCTGTATGGACTCAAAGAAAGGATGGAAAAGTTCATGTAAGAAATCTGTTCTTACTAAAATACTACTATATTGAGGATTAGTAAATACACAAGTCTACTTCCTGCTCAGGAAGTCTCTCAGCTGAAAACTGCAGAAAGTTGAGAAGTATTACAGGAGAACAGGATATAAGCCTTGCTTGTGTTCTACTCTCCTCCAAGGCTCTGCTAGAAATAAGATATTGTGTGAGCTGGACTTTGCTCTGACTTGTCTGAGAAGGAACACAGAAATGGCCATGACACCAAAACAGAACTAATGGCCCTTCCTGACTAAGCACTAGGAAGAGTTCTTCAGTTTTAATAAATTTTAAAGATTACAGGGTGAAAATGACAGGGTTTATTTTATTACTTGTATTGTAAACTTAAACATTGAATCAATGTCCAGAGGACCACAGTAAAGTTTTGGAGCATTTAAAAGTTATCCTAGATAGTTTGAAGTGTGACTGCAGCTGAAAATAAACGTTTCTTCACTCAAAAGGTGCAAGAAGCACTATACAACTTTTAGTCAGCAAGGTCTTCCCCCCCCCCCCAAAAAAAAAAGACAACATTGCACTCACCTGTTCAAGGGTAGCAGCAAAACCCTGTCTGTCTGCAACATAGGGAAGCCCGTGGACCAAGCCTACTTTTTCAGTCATTTGATTGGCCATATCTGTCAGCGTGTCTGGCATTACTAAGTGACAAATAAAAAAAAGACAGTTCAATGAGGTGTCATTAACGGGCTACTGTATAGAGACACTAATTCTCATTCTATTACCAATATCAAGAGCACACATACTTTGATGCACAGTATTTTGGAGCAACAAAGTTTCAGAAAAATAATAAGTGATTAACATAATTTTTATGATCAACAACAAGTACAATGGAAACAGTTTGAACTGTATTTTTTTAAATGGAACTTTCACCCTTAATTAGAGATTAAACATTTTTATACCATTAAAATATTTTTTCCAGATTTCTAACTTTCATTTCTATTTGTATTCTCAGGCAAAATAATCCCCAACAACTGCTTGCCTATAGGGATTAAGAGCAATATAACAGTCAGCGAATTACAAGACACACCTACCTCTGATTCCACTATCACAAATCCATATAAGATCATATTTGGCAACTTCATAGCCAGGCATTAAGTTGTTAATCTTGGGGTTGATGCCAACCTTCTTGCCACCTAAAAAATACAAACATAATACACAAATAATGTATGGCTTTTTTTAGAATTCAGACTCAATACTCAAAATATTTAGATATATTAACTGAAGAACAATAAATGTTCACCCATCAATTCTTAAAGTCCACTTTTATGAAAAGAATTTAAATTTTAAGTATTCTTTCACTTCTATATTTTAGATCTTACTACAGTTATGGAGAAAATTAAAAAGGAAAAAATATTTAAATGCTTTCTCAAAATGGCAGGGTAACAAGGTTAATGTAATTAAAGGGCAGTAGAACTACAAAGTTTACTACTACATTCTGTAAGGTAAATATTCTCTACCTCTTATTTCTTAAAGACTACTGATTATGACCATTACACCCTACAGTATTTTTAGCAGAAAAATGAAAAAGGAGCAGAATAAAGTGAGACTCTCTTTTGCTCCTAACTGACAGAATGGTTCAGTTTGTTTCATGTCAAGAAAAAAAAAAAAAGACACTCTACTACCTAGTTCTAATATGCCTTCCCTCCTCTAATTCAAATGTAAAGCGAAGAGAGCCCTACAGTCTAAGCTGATGAAAAAGGATTGTTGCAGGACCTCAAGCTCAAATACAGCCACAACTCCAAGTCACTTCCTGCACATTTAGTTCAGTGCAAAGACAGGATTTAAACTGCTGTACTTGAGACTTAGAAGGAAAAAGTTGCAGGGTTTGCATAAACCATTCTTTCTAGAGTTTTTTTTTGACTGATGTCACAGATTGTGACTGCAAACTTACTACTTTACCCCAAACAGATGATTAAGCTACAGAAGCAACATGGACCGAACAAGGCAACTATTTGTTTTAGAATACTGTATATGGAGTTGAAGACCTAAACATTTTACAAGTAAGAGTCCCACCTTCACATTGCACTGCTTACCTATGAACAGTCTAGCATCAACATTCGGGTATTTGCCAAGAAGTTTTTTGCACACATCAATAGCTGGATCATCATGATCTTGTACACAGAGTAGTACTTCATACTAGTAAAAACAAAAATGTATACACATACGTATATATTTACACACACACACACTTAACATCAATATGGTCTAGGGAATAAAGCTTAACAGTGTACCAAACTGAAAAAAAAAAAAAGAGCACTGTTAGAGAATTAAAAATAAAACCAAGAAGGTTGTTTTACAGCTAAATAAGACTAATTTTTAGTGCACAACCAAGTACTTGTGAAAAAAGAACCAAGCCTGTATCCCAATAACCTCTTGTACTGAGGAACATTAATTTTCCTGTTATTGGAAGGGTTTCTATTAGGCATGAAGTAAGACATCCTGGTACACAAGGTAAAATTTTTATTTCCACTTCCATTTTTGTCCACATATGAATCTTAAATCCAATCTTATATTCAATGAAATCACAGCATACAAAATATTAAAGGAATGATGTTATGATACACTTGACTGCATACCTCTGAACTACACATTCCTTTACTTTGTAGATGTATACGCAGAACAGAGTTGGAAGACAACCCACAGAGACCAGTATGTGTACACTTAATTGTATAATAAAGCTAAGCTCAGGAGCACGTATATGCACATGTATATGTATTTTCCTCATTAATAGAATAATGGTTAAAAATCAACAAGAGGTAAAGAAAAACTGTAGCTGTTTCAGCCATCAAGCTACATGCTTGTTACACATGAGCTACAGTGGGTGAGGAAACAGCATTTTAAGAATCATTCAATGTTTTGAGACAGCTTTGCAAGCTTTGATGGAGAGTCATGGTTTAACTCCAGTCGGCAACCAAGCCCCACACAGCCGCTTGCTCACCCTCCTCCCGGCCCTGGTGGGATGGGGGAGAGAATCAGGAGAGCAAGAGTAAGAAAACTTGTGGGTTGAGATAAGAACAGTTTAATATTTGAAATAATAGAATAATAATAATAATGGAAAGTAAAACAACAAGAGAGAGAGAGAAACAAAAACTGAGGGAGGGAGGGCAGGAGGGCGAGAAAGAGCACGTGAGCAAGAAAGAAGTGATGCAACCACTCACCACCCGCTGACCGATGCCCAGCCAGTCCCCGAGCAGCGACCTCTGCCCCCCAGCAAACTCCCCCCAGCTTATGTACTGAGCATGACGGCACATGGTGTGGAATGTCCCTTTGGCCAGTTTGGGTCAGCTGTCCTGGCTGTGCCCCCTCCCAGCTTCTTGTGCACCTCCTCACTGGCAGAGTATGGGAAGCTGAAGAGTCCTTGACTTTGAACTAAAATATCGGTGTGTTATCACATTATTCTCATGCTAAATCCAGAACACAGCACTATGCCAGCTACTAGTAAGAAAATTAACTCTATCCCAGCTGAAACCAGGACATGGAGGTATTTCTGTTTCTGCATTAACAGCAAATTCCTTGACTACTCCTCACTTGATACAACCTTCCTCTCTCCCTGTTAAGATTACTGAACTATTACAACAAGTTATCAGAGCTCCAATGCAAAGAATAAAATTCAGAAAACACGAATTTCTGATCAAGACACCTAGAAGCCATTTTTACAGTCCGAGATTTAAAAATTCAATTAAAAACAAGTTTCTTGGAACTCATTTGATATAGCAGTTGTAAATAGGAGTCCCAACTAGTGTTCAAAACAGTTCTCATTCTCCCTTATACTATTCTATCACCTCACTAAACTTCATTTTCAGTAAACTACTTCAGCAAAAAGTAATCTGAACTTCGAAAGCTGCCTGTGGGCTCAACGATGACAATATCTGATGTTCTTGTTCCATAAGAAGTATTTCATACAACAGAAGACAGTAAGTTAAATAAATACATTCTTTCAAGAAAAAATAGTATTGTTAAACACAAAAACACACAACAACTCTAACTGCATTCAGAATATTGTGGAAACTTAAAATCATTAACCACTAAATGGGAGTTGGTAAGAGACTTAGTCCAGTGTTACAAACCATCAGACAAACACATCTCTACCTCTCAGAACACGAACTCAAAGCCAATTTGCCTAAAAAGCAAACAGTATTTGATTCCTATCATTTTACCAGCATGGAACATGGAATTTGAAGGGTAAAAGACCTGTCTCATTAAGCAGACAGGTCTTTCCACCACAACAGAACAATCCTGACAGCATGAATACCATTGAAATTACCAATTGAAGAAATTAGTTCTTTATTGCTCATCCAATTAAATATGTAAAAGAACAACTATTTTTGCTAGTAATTAAATAATTAATCTTCAATCCACAATTGCAATGACACTTCTATATCCCTATTCTCCAAGAAATTCAACCAGAAATAATAAAAAACTTCAACACTGCAGTATTTGAACACAGAAAAATTCACAGTAAATGGCCTTTGTATGCAGTAACAAAGTAAAGAACAACAAAAAGTATGACTAAAGCAGAAGAAACACAAAGATGCTTATCTACATAAACATTACAACCAGGTTCATTTGGACATACCACGAATAGAAAGATTTCTGCCAAAATTATGATATGCACAGTAGGTAAGAACTGTTCACTGATGAAGATATTACGTGTAAGTCCTGCAGTTTAGAAGCTGCATAACTGGCTTCTATGCAACACAAGATTATTTCACACACGGGGTATCACAAAAGAGTTTCAGAGAATCAGTATCACTGCAGGTTAAACTCAGCTTCACTGGAACAAGTTTACGATTATTCTTTCCTAATAATTTTTCCTTGGACAGCTGAACTTTGAATACCAAGCAATACTGTTGTTTTGATTTTTGTGGTGTAATGTCAATCTCTCAAATGAGTTATTTTTGTAGTTATTGTACAGATGCGTTTTCAAACAGTTTGGGGATCTTGCTTGTACTGTATGATCTGTGCCCCAGTAAAGTCAAACATTCATACCTTCCATTTTCACTCTCCTTGGGAAAAATATGATTGCCGCTATTGTTACCCGAAATTCAGATTTGTTTGGAGTGGCAATATTTTAGGATTGCCACCCATATGCGTAAGTTATCAGAAGTAAGGGTCACGATTATGTCTCATAAAGCAAGATCCAGCAGAGCTGCTGTTCTGAATTCTCAAACAAATAGCATTTGTAGTCAAATGTTTCAGCTGCATAATGTTTTGATGCTCATTATAGTAATAAAACAGGTTAAGATATTGCTGCAGCTTCTTTGCACTGTCTGCAATATTGGCGTATACAGCATGCCTGAAGTATGCTTTAAACTTATCTTGGCCACACTTAATCCTTATTGCACTTTTGTTGCTTTGAAAGGATTCAAATGTTCATGCCTGAAGCTTTTCAAAAGGCCCCAAGCTTCATTACAAAAGAACTATCCAACTTGTAGTAAGTTTCATATGGTGGGGTTTTTTTGTTTGTTTTACCCTGCCCACTTAGGAGTTAGTTTAAAGCTCTCAGTCAGAATACACAAAGGAAACTCACTGTACAGCTTACACATACCTTTGACCTTTTACAACTGAAGTCGCAGTGTCAGAAGCAGTTTTGAGAAGAATTGAGAAAAGTTTTATTAAAAGTAACTTACAAGTTTTATCATTCAGGAAATATGCAGTATAAAGTGTAGTCCTTTTTCCATCCACAGGAGCATACACCAAATAGTGAATGATGCAGCAAGCATGTGCGGATTTCTCCTTTAAGTTGTAAGCTCCTTAGAGCAAGGACAGCGTCTGACACACTTATCACTTACGTGACTTATCACTTATATTACAAAGTCAAACAGTGTTCAAGAGCAAACGTAAGCTTTTATTAACCATTTGTTTCCCAACACCGATAAGTGGCTTGGAGACTATCCTACCTACCAACAACTGGTGAGGTACACCACCTAATCATTGAGCAATTCTTCGTTAGATGAGCCATCAGTAAGACCCACCAGAAAGTTTCAGGCTATCAGTTAAGAGAACCTTTCAGATTCTCTTTTATTTCCTTTTAGAGGACCTGTAACAGAGAAGTAGTTAATTGGGGAGGGTGTCTGGCCTCTCAAATGATCTTTTATAGATTGAAGGGTTTCATACTGCTATAAACAATACTGGAATAATGGTGAAACAAATCTTAGTGAAGTGCAGACTATGTTTCATGCCTAAGCCTTGGTCATGTTTCTTTATAGACAGCTTTTTAAAAAGCAGTAAGTTTTGTTTCCAACATGTAAAATGTGTAATGATGCATTCCCTGTGGAAGGAAGAACAACCCGATACACAATCAAGTTGCATAGTTCTAGCCCAAGCTACTGACAGAACTTTTGGATGGTGGGAGGGGGGGAAAAAAAAAAAGACACTAAATAGTATACATACTTTTGGATAATCCAGTTCAAAGAAGGTTTCTAAGTTGTTGATCAGGTTAGGATCCACACCTTTTAACGGCTTTAGGAGTGAAACACCAGGAAGCTTGCTATATGGCTGTTTGTCTGTGGCTTTCTTATTGAGGTGGAGGCGTCTGTAAGGAGAAATAACATACACCACCACATAAAGAAAATATGCTAGAGAATTCCGTTCAAAATACAGTCAGAACTAAGAAAGCTTGGGAGTTAAAACTGCTGCAAAAAAATTAATTTTCGTTGTAGAAACAACAGCTATTTTTGTATCTGACAGTTGATGTCAGAGACAATGCCTAAAAAAACCTTACCATTGTATGTAGGTTAAATGAAACCTTACTCAGACATTTCAGATTAATGCATTTTGCACTATGCATTTTGAACAGTAAGAGTATCGCTTTTTTCAAACTACACAGGAGACAAGATTTTTCTGCCTTCCTCCATAGCATTAAAATTCATAGTATTATAATAAGATATTCAGAAAAACTAATTTACTGCAAACAAGGCAAAAGAAGAGAAGGGTCAGGTGCTTCTACCTGCATTAAGTTATGCAAAACTTAAAGCAAACTGAAAGCACAGGGGAAACAGTTGATCTTACTGATCAATTTGTTAAACACTTGCAAGAAAAGGATAAGGATCAACCAACTGTAGTATAAAAATCCTAGAAACTGGACATTAGGCTGGGTCAGAAGCACAGATACACTGCGAACAGAATTCCAAACAGTCACTAGTATTTCAGCAATGAATATACAAAATAAATTGACGATCATGTCACAACTCACTAATATGAATGTTTAATCCTACGCTCCTGTGTGAATGAATACAAAGTTGAATTCTGAAAGCTTGACGGGCCAATATACAATCAAATTTGCATCAAGTAATATATATATATAATTTAAATAACTGGAGAAAAAGTATCTGCTGAAACTTAAAATTTGCAAATTAGTGTATATACTGCATACTGTAGTTCTCTAGCATGCATAGTAGTCAGATTGAAAGAATATTTTATTGCAGCATGTACCAAATAGTATAAATTCTTAACTTAAAAACTTCCGCACTTTAAAATTCACAAGATGCTGCCTAAAAAAAACCAAAAATGGGAATAGGGTTGCTTCATGGAGTGCTACATCCTGAATAAATGGTAAAAAAAAAAAGTCAAGTTCTTAGGAAGCATGCTCCTGAAGAACATGCCTGACCAAGTGAAGTTACTGAACTACGAAGCAGCTCCACTAAGAGATTCCAGTAGTTCTCTAGAGGTTTTTTTTTTCCCCCTGAAAAGGGACAGTGACATCCTTACATGTGTTACCTCATCGCCTTCCCCCCCGCCCCCAGCACGCTTCTTTCAGGCAGGTTTGCAGCTGAACACCAAGGGCATAATGCTGTTGCAGAGCATAAACAATGGGCTCACTAAAAAGACAGAAGGACAAAGCAGATGATGTCCTTGTACTGTTACTGAGCCCAAGCCTGGGCACTGCAGAGGTAAACTGAAATAGTCTTTGCCAAGCAATTAACAGCCAAGGGACAGCCTGACCAAAGTAAAAAAAGCAATAGTTCAGATAGCTACCACAGACAGAGAAAGACTTTCTTGGAAGCATGCTCCTGAAGAACATGCCTGACCAAGTGAAGTTACTGAACTACGAAGCAGCTCCACTAAGAGATTCCAGTAGTTCTCTAGAGGTTTTTTTTTTTCCCCCTGAAATGGGACAGTGACATCCTTACATGTGTTACCTCATCGCCTTCCCCCCCGCCCCCAGCACGCTTCTTTCAGGCAGGTTTGCAGCTGAACACCAAGGGCATAATGCTGTTGCAGAGCATAAACAATGGGCTCACGAAAAAGACAGAAGGACAAAGCAGATGATGTCCTTGTACTGTTACTGAGCCCAAGCCTGGGCACTGCAGAGGTAAACTGAAATAGTCTTTGCCAAGCAATTAACAGCCAAGGGACAGCCTGACCAAAGTAAAAAAAGCAATAGTTCAGATAGCTACCACAGACAGAGAAAGACTTTCTTACCTATTTTCACAAACATAACAGCAAACAAAGGCTTTAGTGCCAATAAGAAGGGAGAGTCTCAAGAATGCAACTTTGACCAGGAGGGATAAAAGGTAGGTAATGCAAGGGGAAAAAAAGTACTCCATTTAAAACAGACTGTAGCAATGCACATAGCTTTGTACAGAGGCAAAAGCCTTGACAAAGAAGAAATAAGAGAAGGAAGTGGCAGAATAAATGGAAATCGGTAAGAACAGAAAGGATGAAGACAGATTAGAGGCAGGACTGTGATAAAGAATAAGCACCAAGTGATAAACTGCAGAATCTTGCAAGGCATCATACTACAAACCACGCTGTCACATAGGATTATGCAGGTGATTGAATCACATAACGAAAAGCCTACACATGGTGTAGGAGAGGGAAACCTTGGAAAATAAGCAAGTGAGGCACGCAGCATTGTCAGGATCCATTCAGCTATGAAACACCATACACTGAGACTTTTGACAGAGTATGGCAAGACTGTATCTAACATGCTATCTTAAGAGTCCAGTTCATGTTCTATTCATAACGCTGCACAAAACTGGCAGCCTGCCATCCTGAAGCACTGTGGTACTGTGACACTAAGGTAAAGCAATTTCCACACCAGTAATTGCAATACTCTGTTAGACTCTACAGAGCAAGAGGCAAATTAACAGTAAACCAGATAATTTTACACTGAGAAGGACTATTTGTGAAGTGGCATATTCTGGAGAAGAATTAAAAAGTTACAACTGAAAACCTACCATCACCAGAGAAACAGACCAACCATTATAAAAAAACCAAAACAAGTTACAATATTCAAATGAAGGCTAACATTTAACACAGATATCAAAATAATAGACTAAATATAAACAATATCTAACACTGTTGATGCAGGTATGTTCTAAATGAAGTTGTGTGTTACAGAACATGCACCAAAGATGAAGTACTAAGTTCGTATTTTTGAGCACTAACTTGTGCTTATGGTGGTTCAGTTCTCTCAGACACGTGTTGTGATCACAGTGGTCTTCATTACCACAGAGCATGTATGACACATACAATTCAAAATGATAAAGGAAAGCAATCCTTTCACAAAGTTTGTATCACGTATAGAATATATTATTTGCATTGAAGTTAGCCCAAAGCAGTCCAAAACACTAACTATACAGATGTACTTGCCTAATGCATTTTTTTCTACCTCTGCCTATGCAGCAAGCTGCAGAAAAACACTACACTAAGGAATGTATAACAACTTTGAGCTCTGAAACACATGATGGCAGAGCACTATTTAAAGGCACTTTCAGATCTTGTGTGTGAAAGACCAGTAGCCAGGTTATTTATAAGCACTTTTGCGCCTACATATATTAAATGGATCAGCCTGCAATCCCTAGGTAGTGAAACTGTGAAATTCCTTCTAAGCAGTCTGGTGCTGGTGTACATAGGTGGGGAAGGAAAAAAGCAGCAGGATGCATAATGGTGTCAGGAGCTATAGTTCAGCTATTCTGTATCATGTAAGAGGCATCTGCAAAGTTTTCCTCATACTTAGTTCCTCAACACAGCAATAATTAACCCACAGAAGCAACTGTAATCTGCATCTCTTCTCTCAGCAGAGGAAAAATGTATTTCCAAAGACAAAATACAGGCTACTGAGTTATCACTGCCCAGTATACTACACTATGAATTCTTGCTAACCTGTATCAACAGCAAAACTGTGGAAAAAATTTCTTGCTAACCTATATCAGCAACAAAACTTTTTTTTTTTTTTTTAAAAGGCCAAGACTACACTTCCTCCTCTCACCTCATTAAGGGCAGGAGAGTATTCCAGCAAAAACAAAAAGCTTGCTACAGTAGACAGACTGCTGGGTCTCTCAGCTGAGATAGTAACATATGCCATTTAAAAGCAGCTGAAAAACCCTAAACACTCTTTATTCACTCATTTCAACCTTCCCTCAGCAGCTACTTGAAGAATTATCCTATTAGAGGGAGGTTAAGTAATTCTTGGTCAGAAATTTGTAACAGATACTTAAGTATTGCAAGACAGCACTAAGAAGGCGCAGGAAGCACTGAAGACATCCCTTGAAGGCTATGGTTCCACAGGCCATCAAGAGAAGCTAGCAGATCATTACTTCTGAAAGGGGCTGTTTTCCTGCTTCTATTTCTGAATTTACACACTCCCCCCTTCCCCAGTTCGTTTTCATGTTAGTGAGCTGAACCATCTCACACAGGTGTTTGGGGAGTATTGGCCTGCTATGGAGTAACAGACAGGAGATATCAGCTTGAACAGGAGAAATAAAATGTAGGATTATCCTGCTTCTTTCAAAACCCAGCAGGGGTGGGAGCGCATGTCTCACAGCTTTTCCTGAGACAGCTGCTGGAAGTGGGTACTTTTCACATTTTTTTTTTTTTTTTTAAAAGGCCAAGACTACACTTCCTCCTCTCACCTCATTAAGGGCAGGAGAGTATTCCAGCAAAAACAAAAAGCTTGCTACAGTAGACAGACTGCTGGGTCTCTCAGCTGAGATAGTAACATATGCCATTTAAAAGCAGCTGAAAAACCCTAAACACTCTTTATTCACTCATTTCAACCTTCCCTCAGCAGCTACTTGAAGAATTATCCTATTAGAGGGAGGTTAAGTAATTCTTGGTCAGAAATTTGTAACAGATACTTAAGTATTGCAAGACAGCACTAAGAAGGCGCAGGAAGCACTGAAGACATCCCTTGAAGGCTATGGTTCCACAGGCCATCAAGAGAAGCTAGCAGATCATTACTTCTGAAAGGGGCTGTTTTCCTGCTTCTATTTCTGAATTTACACACTCCCCCCTTCCCCAGTTCGTTTTCATGTTAGTGAGCTGAACCATCTCACACAGGTGTTTGGGGAGTATTGGCCTGCTATGGAGTAACAGACAGGAGATATCAGCTTGAACAGGAGAAATAAAATGTAGGATTATCCTGCTTCTTTTGGCAACAGAAAGGTAAAAAGGATGAATTCTCCCCATCTTCCTTACTTTTTATACATATCTGGTGTTAAAACATTTCCAAAAGTAGGTACCTTTATGCACAGAAGAAAAAAAATTAAATTTGCCTCGGATACACCACATTGGTCAGTGCATTAAATACAACTGAAAGAAAGATCGGAGGAGTCCAAAAGTATTACAGACG